GATCTAGTGATTACCTGTCAATACCCATTTCTAATAAATCTAGGTCGTCACCACCAACCTTCAAACCTATCGGGGAAATCGATTAAAGCTTGTCGATCAGCTATCATTAAAACTGCTCTCGAATCCAGTTTTAAAAATATTCATCTCATTCATCACCAGATTAACCCATCGGGTTAATTAACTTTAGTAATTTCCTGCAATGAAATCAATATTTAATGACCTTGCTTCCATTGAAACTATAGATTCTTAATCAGGGCTTTCCTTGTAGATAAAAGTTATAGAAAGGTAAATTTATTTGATGACAAATGGATATGGGTTTTTCTTTAGTTTGCAAAATGCTTATAAGTTTTTCGGGATGCAACTCTTTATTCTCATATTTCCGTCACCGCTAATCACTGGTAAACCACGATATAGTCCACCATTTTTTATTGTATGCGACTTAAATAACCTGTGGAATCGATTTTTGTTTGAAGCTCGAATTCTAAAAGGGTGGGTATGGAAACAATTTATGGGTTGAACCATATCTTGTAATTTGAGAATTGTGGGTGTGGAAGCGGGATCGAACCTTGATTTTTGGGGTATGTAAACGTAACAATGCCAATAGAGGGGGATTCGATGACATGAATAATGGTCGGCCATATCTTTTTATGGAAACAATAAACAATGAATGCATCACTTAATTTTGGTTTGAAGCACTTTATCTCTCTCTCTCTCTCTGGTTTTCTTCAACAACATACATATACTAGCACACATTAGGTTAGGTATATAAGAAAGGAGGGAGAGAGGCGAGAGGCGTGGGGGTACAAGTAGTGTGGGGGTGTTTTTTTATTTTATTTTCTTTTTTTAGGTGAAACTTAAATAAAGAAAAAGATAAAAGATCACTACTAGAAACTTGAGTTTCAGGGACAGATAAATTCGGTAGCAAATTTTAGGCTTATGGCGAGGGATTTAAGACAGATCAACGATGTTTTAGACAATCACTTTATTTATTCAACATATTTCATATTAGCGAGGATTTACATGGGAATCAGCTACGGATCTCACAAGTGTTTATTGACACACCCCCATCCCTCGCAAATCGGTTGAAACTGAAGGCATTAAGTGAGGGTAGCGACAGATAGAAGAATTGTCCTTTTTTCCAACTGGAACGTGTTTAGCGAGAGAACACCGATGGAAATTATATTTGGGGGATGCACATTTTGTTTTAGTATCGTCGATCTCTCGCTGGAATTGGCGCAACCCAATTCCAGTTTCACGAAATTGCTTAAGTTTCCTTCCCTCCTAAATCAGCTTTATCACTCTAGAGTAGGTTCCCTTCATTATGTTAACCTAATCTCACCCTCTCCGTTCAAACATATGACGACACCACTCACCATTGCTACTCTCGATTCCGGAAACCGTCACACCCCAGCATAAAATCCATAAAATCTAAAAGTAGTTTTCGTTAACTTCTGATTCAGGTAAATCTCTTGATTTTCTTTGCTTTAGTCATATATTAGGTTAGGTTTCGACGTTTAGTTTAGTTGCACAATATTTTACGTTAGAGTTTAATTTCTCCCTTTTTTTTCTTTTTCAATCATCATTTGTCTTATATCTCAGCAATAAATACGCGAATCACCTTGAATCGATTGCATCATGTAATTATAAACTCTATTTGTGATTCCTGAATCTCGTTCTAACTTGACATCTGCATTCATCCGTTGAATGTTTGTCTCAAATTCAACACGTTCGGTAGCTTTCACCGGTGTTTCTGAGTTTCCCTACACTTGTTTCTAAATTGTCTCTTCTAATTTTTTCTCCTCATCATCAAGATTTAAAGGTACATCTTCATTAGACAGACACATGTAATGATCTTGAGCTTGGAGGTACAATTACTATAATTTAGTGTTTCTTTCTACTTCCAATTTACACTCCCCCAACTATTTTATATAATGCCTAAGTGAAAGTCATGTTAAGGTCTTTCTAACTTCGTATATGAAAATCCAAACAGGCTGCAGATGTGAGTTTTTTCAGAGTTCTCTCTCAGGTGAGTATATGTTATTTCATCATTTTGTCACTTTCAAATGTTGAATTATATTTTGTTTATGAATATTTTAATTTGTTGATTAATCACTTAACAGCTAAAACCAGAGGCAGGAAGACTGATGAGTGGTACTATCACTTTTTTTATTACATCCACATCAAGTATCCTGATTGTATGTCTAAATCTTTTCATCACCCTCAAAATAATTTTGTTTTTCAAGAAAAATAATTTTGTTTGTATTCCATTTCAGCCAAGATTTGGTGGGACAATATTTGATATTGTTTCAGGAGATCTCCAAACACATGAACAAAAAAGTGAATCGGTAAGCTTAGTCAATAGAACCATACTAGGAATCCTTCTTATTGTCATAATTAGCTATGAAAATTTCAAAATCTCAATTCCTCCATTTCCTGTAAACTAAAGTCAACTCAACTTTGACTCATTTGATCATTTCTTATGTTCAGTTCAATATCCACAACATTGCAAACATGGTTTTTTTCTTCTGCAAGTGAAAGAATCGTTGTTGCCTTAAGAAAAAATATTTTCGCGCATCTTGTTAATAAGGTAAAAATCATAAATGTCTTATATGCCCCTTTTTTCAAGACTCAAGATTCACTCACCCTTCTGCAAAAAATAGCTTTCTTTGATGTTACAAGAACAGGGGAACTTCTTAGTAGGCTTTCTGAGGATACCCAAATCATTAAAAATGCTGCAATTTCAAATCCAACATGTTTACCACATCATGGAAGTTAACATGTAAGACAAACATTACAGTAAAAAAAGTAACTTTAAATTGTTTTTTAACATAAAAACTTATTCATCTTTTTCTTGTTATTAGTATTGGCTTTGGTTGTTTTTCATCTCATTTCAATTGTTGTACGCCAAGTTGGAAGTTATCTTCATGAAGTTTCCCACAAAACTAAAGCTGTTGCAGACGTTGCTTCCTTAATTGATGAGGTGTGTATTGACCATTTTACCCCTATTTGTTATAATACTAAAGCAATTGTTATCACATCCAACATTCTTTTGTATCCAAAGTATCTACTACTATGAAAACATCCCAAAAAGAAAAAAATTACACTTTTGATTTTTTTTTTTATAAATTTGTAAGAACTTTTGGTGTTGTACGCACTGTGAGATCTTTTGCACAAGAAAATTTTGAAATTCCACGTTACTCTAAGAAAGTTGATGAGACATTACACCAAAGGCAGCTAAAGTCGAGGTATTTCCAATTCTTTTGTAGGAAAAAAAAGGAATCAAAACTTCCCCCCAACTTGGGTTAATCACTTAGTTAAAGCAAAATTGATAGAAAAAAATTTATTTTGTATATTGCTTCCTAGAAACAACAATAAATGATACGAAGATCTGATTTAGAGTAGTTAAAAGAATTAGAGGAAATGATAGGATGAGATTGATATTGATTATGTTGGGGATGCTGGTTTTATTAGGAAATTTAGGGACTGAGAGGACATGACTGTAATTTTTAATCATACCATGGTTGTGTTTATGTTAATGTATTATCAAATGAGAGTAAATTACAAGAATGTCTTTTTATTCAGTTTAGTGAACTAAAAAAACTTGAGGTTTATTCAGTTTAGTGAACTCAAAAAAAGTGTGGTTTTGATTAAAAAGTGTTTGAATTAAGTACTACTATATTAATAATCATTTATAGTAAACTTTTTGACAAAAAATAACATAAATAACATCCTTTTATATATAATTTTTCGCAAAAAAAATACATAAATAACAAAACTATAATTCATTTGAAGGTACTGTACATGTTTACCAGATAATGGAATGGTTTAGTGAACCAAATTTTCCCAGAAATATTTGAAAGTCCAAATGTTCCCGGTCACCTACAATTAAAGAGTAACAAAGATTTAATAGGAGGCTGATGAAATGGTTCATTCCATTCCTCAGTAATGATTGTAATGGAATGGAATGAACCATTCCATTCCTTTCCATATATAATTGCAAATTAAATAATATTTATTTTCTTCATGTTTTTTTTTGATATAATAGAAGGCTTATGAAAGTGATATGGTGTAAATGGATGGACGCCAAAGCTGCAGAAATGGAAGTCAAACATCTAAATTGTTTTTGGATGTTTTGATAAACTTTGATAGTTGGTTTCTAGTATTGTAATGTTAATGTTTTGTTTTGTTTGTATAACTATTTGATGTTTTTCTTGTATAATAATTTGATGATTTTTGTATTTTTTTGTTTTAGATTCATAATAAAAAAATATATGATATTTATATGTTGATAATCGGCAAAAAAAAAAAAGAAGATATATGAATTTCGCGAGGGAGCTACGACGGAAAAAAAAGCCATATCTAGAGTTTGCGAGGGATTAGCGACCGAAAAATGAAAAATCATGACCGAAATTTGCGACGAAATACCTGATTTGCGACAGAACAGCAACGGAAAGTTGTTATCAAATTTTGTCGCCAATGTCCTAAATAACTGTCGCTAAGCTTGTCGCAAAAAACAAAACGAACCATCGCTAAATCCCTTGCTAAGTCATTAGCCATGTTTTAATTAGCTACGGTGAACATCTGTTGCTGATCCATCGCAAATAACATTTAGCGACGGATTCATCCGTCTCTAAAACTCAGGTTTCTAGTAGTGGATATTAAAAGGATAAAAATGTTATTTTATGTAGCTCAGGGACCAACCATGCAGGTTTTACAAACCACATGGACCATATGTGTTACAGAGGGACTAAACTTGCAAATACGAAAAACACAGGGGCCATTTATGTAATTTTGTCTAAACACAAACAACAGGACTCAAAAATTGTAATACTAGTATAACAGTAATGAGTGTTTACTCGTCAAGCTAAAGAAAAACATAGAAGAGAAACAAAAGGAACCACAGTTTTTCCCGTGATAAATTTAAGCAGGTTATGTTACAACAAAAAAAAAATAAAAAAATAAAAAAAATTTAATGCTCCAATCATTAGTTTTATTTTGAGAAAAAGAAATTGAAAGTCTACTCAATCAACTCATACTGCGTGCTGTATCTCAAAACTTTAGAGTGGTTTTGTTAACTGCCAGGAGTATAAGAGGTAGGAATCAAATGTAAGGGAACCTTTTTTGCTACTAATGATCCTTCGGTCTCTGACATATCAATATCCGTAGGATTTAATTCCTCAGGCAGTTTCCAGTCAAAATTGTATAGCATTTGAGCAAGGAGAAGTTCCACGGATACCATACCAAACGTTATGCCTGGGCACATTCTCCTCCCAGAACCAAATGGGATAAAATGATAATTAGTTCCCATGAAGTCAACTGAAGTATTTTCAAATCTCTCTGGCTTGAAGCTCTCAGCATCCTCCCAGTATTCAGGATCAGTAGAGCAAGCCCATCCATTGACAAAGACTTTCATTTTGACTGGTATATCGTAACCACCAATTTTACATTGCTCCCTACATACTCGTGGGAGTAATAAAGGGATTGGGGGGTGAAGCCGTAGAGTTTCCTTGATTACTGACTGCAAATAGCTCAAACCATTTAGGTCTGACTCCTTGATTTTACCCTTCCCCTTGAAAGCTTCTCTTATTTCGGCCTGTAACTTCTCCATCACATTCGGGTGTCTTATAATTTCTGTCATAGCCCAACCAATTGTTATGGAAGATGTATCAGTGCCTCCAGCAAAGATGTCCTACAGTAATGTAGAAAGAAAGTTTATATGATCAATATGAACATGCATTACAATTTTTGTATATCTTTCCTATTTGTTTTGCACAAAATCATTATTGCATGGGGGTCTTTTAACCTCCCACATGGACCTTGCTTGGGGGAATGACTTGCATTTTCATTTGAACATACTTGACATCCATATAGGACAAATTATATTACCAGATAATGATAAGCTTTTGATATTATAATTAGATGACTTTACACGTTAAATTAAATTAATATTGTAGAAGATAAATAACATTTACTAATAAGCCGGATCCTCATGACTGGCAGCTTAGCTGCGATTTTAAAGTCAATGTAAGGAGAGTTATGAAACAGGGAGAAGTTAATTAGCTAGTGCAGGTAGAGAAGTTAATTAGTTATAGTGGATATAAAGATTATTTTAGGAAGAGAAAGGAAGTGAAGAGAATTGAAAAAAAAAATGATAAATTATCTTGTTTCCCAGATTATTTTTTGAAAGGAATTGGAGAGAAAAGATGGGAAAAGAAGAAATGATTTTGCCACAAAATTTTCCTACTAAATTGGACAGACGAAGAATGAAGTAGGCTTAATCATATGTTTTAAATATGTCATTAAAACGTAATCTTTCCTTTATTTTCTTTCTAACCTAGGAACTTCAATATATAATTTTGAACAAATTACACGAATGGTCCTTAAGGTTTTGTTTTTTTCCCTAAAGTAGTCCCTACGAAACTTTTTTCCCTCAGATGGTACCTACGGAGCAAACTTTGCACACAAAAGGCCCTTGTGACTAACTTTGTTAACAGATTCTGTTAAGTTTTGTTAAATGACAAAAATACCCTTTGTTTTATATACATAGATGGTTCTCTCTCTCTCTCTCTCTCTCTCTCTCTCTCTCTCTCTCTCTCTCTCTCTCTCTCTCTCTCTCTCTCTCTCTCTCTCTCTCTCTCTCTCTCTCTCTCTTCGACACAAATCCCTAGTCTTAACTTGAAATAAACACCGGAGAACAAAAAACAAACATTATTCAAGCTCATGGGTTTCCGCCACGGAGAAGACGAACCACCGTCATTAAACCCTAATGCAACAGTGAAAACTCTTAAAGGAAAATTTGTCTCTCTTTCTTCTCCGCCATCTTTCCCAAATTGTTGGTCTTGTTCGGGTTCGACAACGCCAGAGTTCAGGTTCGAGTGTGTAGCACATGTGGCTAGAGTAAAACTTCGATCTCCGTCTATGGCTTGAGTTTGCAGCGCCTACGCCTCTTTAAAACCCTGGTAGCGGTGATACGAAACTCTCATATAAGATGGCTTCAGGGAGCAAGGGATGAAGCAATGAGTTGCAGGTTTCATGGGGTTTCTGCAAGGTGGTTCGGCAAGCATTGACAAGGAAACAATTTGGATTGGAGGCAACGACCTTCTTCCATCTGCAACTAAAACACACAGTAAAACCACACACATCGTTCACATGATTACTAAAAGCGCTCACCTCCAAAAATCATAGTTAGGGTTTCAAAAACAACAACAACAATAGGTGGTACGGTGGTGGTTTAGCAAATCGCGAGGAGGGGAGCCGATGGAAGGCTGTCGTTGGCATCTTCTTCCTTTTTTCTGGTCCAATCGGCAACAATCACGAATGGGGAAAGAAGAGCCCATTAATCGTCGAGGAAAACAGTGAGGGTCACCGATGGTACCGTTGATCGGAGTGGGAAGTGGAACAAGTGGCAGGAGGGAGGTTAGATCGGAGGCAACAACCTTCTTCAATCTGATTCATTTTTCCAACGAGCAAAGGAAGGGAGAGAGAGAGAGAGAGAGAGAGAGAGAGAGAGATAAGGTGGGCCCCACCTTTTTTTTAATTTCAAATTAACAAAATATTAAAAATAAATAATAAAAAACAAAGGCCATTTTCGTCTTTTCACACACACTTAACATAATTTGTTAAGAAAGTTAGTCATAAGGATCATTTGTGTGCAATGTTTGCTCGGTAGGTACCATTTAAGGGAAAAAAGTTTCGTAAGGACTACTTTAGGGAAAAAAACAAAACCTTAAGGACCATTCGTGTAATTTGTTCTATAATTTTCTTTTTTTCCACCCTTTCTTTTCTCTCCATATACTTCTCCACCTTCTTTTCTTTCCTTTATTAAAACCGTGAAACTAGCGTGAAAGGGAATCCATCCTCCATATCTCCCAACCCAAATGTCATATAGAAGTCATATTAGGTTATACATTTCCTGTTATTATTGGTAATATTTCTAAATAATAATATAAACCTTTTGGGTTGGCATTATTAGTTACGAATAATTAACAATAAGGAAATGAAGAAAAATAAATTGTTAATTTGTTATGAATTAATAAATTAATCGAAAATTATTTTTCTAATTAATTAAATAGTTTTAATTTTGAATAATAATTAATTCATCGAGATTAATGAGAAAATTCCCAGAAATCTTATGAAACAAGGCAGAAACAATATCTAGAAGGATATTCTACATTATAGCAAGTTTTTAAAAGGCAAAACTGCAAAATTGATCCATGTGGTTTAAAAAAAATAGTGGATAAGATCTAAAAAGTTTTCAAGTTGAATGGGAGGTCTAAAATCAAAAACTTTATGTGGTTTTGATCCTAAAATTAAGAAATTCTGGTGGTTTTGGTCCTAGAAAAACTTGAAATGATGATTTTTCCCTTTTCATTTCTATTTTTGTATTTTTTTTTATATTTCCTTTAATAATTTATTAATAAAAAGTAAAAATAAAAGAAAATGATCTCTTTCTCTGCCTATATATCTATATATATATATATATATATATATATATATATATATATATATATACCGTCTTCCCCCATCCCTTATCTTCTTTTGCCCCCTGAATCTCAATCTGGAAGATGTTTCGCAAATACAAAAAACTTCTAACCCATCTGTAAAATGATACCCATTTATCATCGTCTTCTCAAAACCATCATTACAACTCAACTTATCGACGCCCTTGTTCCCACTCCCTTCTTGTTGTTTGTTTCTGGCCACTGTATTCAATTCAGAACTCGCAGGTTCCTTGTCCGAAGCCGGCAGCCATTTATTTTAGTCAAGAGTCTCCTAAAAATGTTGACTGTAAATAATATCTAGCTGATTCTTGAAGCTGAGGTACTCCATATCCCCACTTTCGTCCCCATAATTACATAAATCTCAGTAGTAAAGGAAACAAAATCTCATGTTTTTGATGTATCTATTGCAAAAAAAAAAAAAAAAAAAAAAAAAAAAAAAAAAAAAAAAAAAAAATCCAAAGATGTTAACAATTACCACTCATATTTCGTAACTCCCTTCTCTGATGAAAGTGAAACCAGATGCAGAAACACACACACACACATACCAGATACCTACAAGTCAATTATAGGAAAAGTGTTCATGACTCAGTTTCACTAGAGCTGGAGAATTCGTAATAGTCGAAGAAGTATAACTTAATAGAGACGGAGAACGGAGAATTCGTAGATGGGTTTTGAATCACTAGAAATGGAGAAGTTAGATTTATGGTTATCAAATCTAGGTTTTTTATTCACTATGTGCTTAATTTTGTGAGTATGAATATTTCTTCGATGAGGTATACGTTCAGATAGAGAAGAGAAAGAGGGGGTACCAATGGAGAGGGGTGGGGTGAGATTTTATATTATTTATTTTTAATTATTTAAATAATAAAATAAATAAAGAAAATAAAAAAAATGAAAAGGGTAAAATTGACATTTCAAGTGTATCATGGACCAAAATCACATAAAATTCTTGATTTTGGGCATTTCATGCAAGTTGGAAACTTTTTGGACTCTATCCACAGTTTTTTCGAAAACCACAGGGATTAATTTTGCAGTTTTGTCTTTTGAAAATGATATGGATTATCCTCAGAAAACCTATTAACTTAAGGGTACAAGTTGTTGCCTATAAATACGATGCTAGGATGAAACCCTATACCAACTTTTCCTAATAATTTTTGTTCTCCCTCTCTCATATGTCTCTATAGCTTCGAAAATTATAACCCTCTCTCTAGGGTTATAGAATTTTTGACTTATCCCTTTTTAGGGTTTTCTTATTTGCTTCTTCGAGTCTTGAGTCTGACTATATTAGAAGGATTCTCATTTTCATCCTACATCATTGCATGAGTTGTTAATCACATGGTCTTAATCAAAAGATCAAGCAGTTAGTATTTTTACTTTTCTTTAGTTGGATTTCAAAGCAGGTTCCTATTATTATAAAAACTTAAATCCTAGAGTGCATGTATACATATGTATTTGTTTTGTTTTTGATGCCTTGATCGTGTACTTTCCGCCGCCTTGATCATGTGCATAAATGCATAGGAAACCCAATAATTATTTGAATTGTTCAGTTGTTGTCTTGAATGCAAACGACCCATTTCGGTTTAAGGTGTTTAGGTTTCTGTTTGGTAATTGGGTGTTTGGGTGTTTGGGTTTTGATCTATTGTAGTGTGTAAATATTGTGTTAAGTTGCGCTACAAGAAATAAGGTCATTACTAGCAACACTATTAGCGGCGACAACGACTTTTAGCAGCGACTCAACCTTGATTCGCCGCTAAAAGTCGTTGTCGCCGCTAATAGCGTCGTCGTTAATGCTTTGGGGACCGAATACGCACTCACATGTTCTGGTAAATCTCAATCGTTCATTCGATGATCTAATCTAACGACTGGGGTTCATTTTCGCATAAACTTAATACCGACAATAAATTGTAGCCGCTAAAGGTCAAAATTGCCGCGCGCTAAAGGTGAAAAAAAGAAGCGGTAATCTTCCCTCCATAATTGTCGCCGTTGTTGATGTTTGTCATCGCTAAAGGTTTAAATGTCGCCAGTAAAGGTGTCGCCGCTATTACTGTTTGCAGATAACAAAAAAAAACAACGATGCCTGCTCTTTCACTTTTTGCTTATTTCGCTTCCATCTACTCTAATTTTTTTACTTCCCCGTTTCTGTCCATCGACTACCGATTCAACCAACGAGGAGATTTCGACAAAGGGGAACTCCCCATTGTGAGATTACCTATGAAGGGGAACCACATATTCCGGCGACACATGTGCATCTCCAGCGACGGTAGGTCTTCAACTTATGATTTATATTTCTCTTTCTCTTACAATATCCATTTCTAGCTCCACCTTATGATTAATTGCAAAATAATTATCAATTTCAGTTTTTTTTTTCTTTGTCTTGGTCACTAATGAGGACCACCAACAACACTACCCCATCTGTTAAATTATGGCCACCACAGGTTCTATATACTATGAATTTTGAGATTTTATGACAAAATATGTGCGTTTGTATATATTATGTGAATTTGGCATATGTATGTATAAATCGTGTATGTGTGTGAAAGTATGTGTATTTGGTGTAACTGTGTGTATAATATGTATGTGAAAGCATGTGTATTTTGTGTAACTAGGATGTTATTATGTATGTATGTGAAAGTATGTAAATTGGATATAAGTAGGATATAATTGTGTATTTGGTATATGTATGTGAATTCATGTGTATTTGCTGTATATGCGGTATATGTATGTGAAAATGTGTATTTGTGTCTATTATGTGCAAGTTGACATATGTGTGTATATTTGGTATAATATATGTGTGTATTTTTGTGTATATATATATATATATATATATATATATATATATATATATATATATATATATATATATATATATATATATATATATATGATCTCGTGGCCCAAAACATCAAAAAAAAAAATAATAAGAAATTTTAATTTACAAAAGTATGATTAGTCATCAATATAAAAAAGGAAAGTTGACTAGGCACATCTAGTCCCATAGGAGCACGTCAACATCATGTGGGATTCTAATATCAGAAAGTCAATGTTGGCATGCTTAATTTCAATTAGATTTTGAAATGCTTAATTTCCACGTCATACCAACTATGTCAGGTTAACGGTGACGTACTAAATTATAGACATAGAATTACCCCAAATAAAATTACAGGTAAACATAGAATTACCCCAAATAAAATGTAGTCTTAATTCTTTTAGGTGGTAGATAATAGATTTGTACTTTGGATTTAGATACCAACTAGTTTCCTGGTTGTAATTCATGTACCTTTAAAATGTGTGTGATGAAAAAGATAGTTTTATACGTATGATTCAAATTGTTTCATGTACCTCTCTATTGAGTAAAATAATGATTTTGTGTGAATAATATATATATATATATATATATATATATATATATATATATATATATGATAATGATTTGATAATTTATATGAGTGTGAGTAAGTATAATAACACCCCATTAAAATCAAAGACTAAGAGCTGTTTCATAAACTTTTAAAATGAGTGTGATGAAAACTAATATGGATATAAATGTAGAAAAAAATCCAACGATTTTAAATTTGTATCTTAGAAGAAGTGAAATAATCAAATAATCAATGATACACTATATAAAATAATAAAAATATTTTTTAACCATGAAAAGACACTTCCCAATGCCAGATTCGCAAGTTCCAAGTTACAAGTCGATTAAAAGTTACTTTAGGTAACGTGTGAAAAGTATAAATATTTTTAAGTTCAGATCCCAGTACAGGAAGATAAACGTCTGGTTATAGTATCACTAACAAAAATTTTACCAAGAAAAATCTTAAAATTGAAATTCTAAATTCAAATATGATGGTAAAAATCTGAACATGCTATATAGATTGTGATGAACTTACCACAAAAATTGCTTTAATGTTGTTGTTCGTGATAGGGAACTCAAGACCTCCTTCCTCTTTGATTCGAAGAAGAACTTCTAGAAGATCTTCATCCTGATCGCCACCATCTCTTTTTCTACCTTCATGCTCCTCCCAAATGTCATCGAAGATCTTGTCAAGAGTTTTATGGAGCTTCATTAACTTCGATCTCAGTCCAGAAACCACATAAAGAAACTTAAAATCAGGAAACAGATCCGCCAAATGAAACCCACTATTGACTCTTGCAAACTCATCCAAGAACTCTAGTAGGGCATGTTGCTGTTTACAATTTTTTCCAAAGGAAGCTATGCAAACAACATTATTGATGAGTTCCGTGATAGTTTTGTGTAAGTTTATCGGTTTTCCTGAAGATAACCGGAGAAACTCAATGAACCCATCAAGTTCTTGCTCTCTGATTCGACTGAAAGATCGAACTTTTTTGGCACTAAGGAGTTCCAATGAGGCAATCTTTTTCATTTGCCTCCAGTACTCACCATATGGGGCGAGAGCTATATCGGTGTTCCCATAAAGCACAAGCTCACTCCCAAAAGTGGTGGGACGATCTGCAAGGGCAATATCATTGGTTTTGAGTACCTCTTGGGCTAATCGAGGTGATGAAATAATAACTGCTGAAATTTGACCGAGTTGGATATGCATAATGGGGCCATGTTTTCGTGCTAAGTCTCGAAAAGCACGATGTGGGAGTGTTCCTGCTATCTGGTGTACATTTCCGATCAGAGGTAGCTTTTGTGGCCCTGGTGGTAAGTTAAATGATTTTGAGCGTTTGAACACAAAGTAGAGGAAGAAGATGAGAGAAGAAACAATCAAAGAAATAAAAACTAGTTCTGTCTCCATTGTTGCAGCCTAGCAGTGAACAATGAACTTTACATTACTTGCTATAAATATTTGTATATTTATGTAACATTGGGTTCTCATTTTATTTGTTATTTGATATTTTCATTAATTAATTAATGATATCCTTAAAGAAATGAGAATGATTGCTTTATTCTAATTTCCATCTACGCTACTATTTTGTTTATCATCACCCAGTAATAATTTCTATTAAGGTCCAAAAGATATAATGATAAATGTAAAAAAAAAATGAATTTAGTCTGTCGTTTACAGTATGGTAGCTTGCCACCGGCAATAAAAAAAGGACACTACGTGACATATAGGATGACACGTACAATAGTCGCCTTTAACAACGCAACAAAAACAGATTGTTGCTATAGATCCACCCATAGAAAAAAAAAAATAGTTCCAACAAGATTTTAGGTATTTTTCATTTGGTACAACGTTTAGGAACGATTTTTTGTTGCAATATGGTAAGGGGGAAATTCTCCCTACCATTTTTTATTAGAATATGAGAAGCCGAAATTTCCCCTCTTCTAAAAGTGATAGAAAATTTTATAGAAACTAAATGTTGTTGCTATAGATTCAACTTTTCTGTTTTTTAATGAATCTTTTTTAAATAATATTTATTAATGAGATGAAAATTTATAGAAATGAAAAGTGGTTTTTATTCCTAACGTTAAACACCAATTCTTTTGCCTTTATTCACTTGTACCCAAACCTAAATCACAAGGTCACACCGGAGAGCAAGTCGAAGGTAGCATCACCGCTCAACTATCCCAGGCGAAGGAAGAACTATCAGCGACGAAGCAACTTCGGTATGTATTATTGCCTCTTCTCCGACATGCTTTTCTTTCAAATATTCTTCGCTTACGCCTATATGACAATCAGGAAGGAAAGAGACACATGCGACCAAGTCGAAGGAAGCATCACCACTCAACTATCTCTGGTGAAGGAAGCACTGCCAGAGACGAAGCATCTCATATAAGTATTCTTCCCTGGCTCTCTGACTTGCTTTTCTTTCAACCTTGTTTCACCGATTTTTTTCTATTCACGCTACTGAAATGTCATAGCTTCTAATCTCACGATTTCTAGTGCAAAGTTTCCATTTGATGTTCAGGATTTCTGTAACATTTAATTTCAGAATGTTTCTAATTTCGGGATAACGAACCATAATTTGATTGAGTAAAGATCTTGGTCTTCAATGGAATAAATTTTAGACCTTATTAGATAATAATAATGTTGGTTAAGTGATTTAAGCTCTTGATCTGTGCTTCGGAGACAAAATGGTAGAATGTGAAAAAGTGATATTTTAGATTCTTTGCATATATTAATGGAATAAGTTCGGTATTCATTAAGTCAAAAGTAATTAGAGAGAATTGTGGTGCTTGTTAATACATTCGCGTGCATATAAAGATCATTAAAAATGGATTTGAAACGAAAAAGTTATGATTGTTTGAAAATGGAATGGAATATGGGAAACTTGTCACCACGGCGTGATGAGCTGTGTAACCCAAAACCATAAAATTAGGGTTTTGTTTCGTATTTAAAGGCATTGTTCCATATTTTCAGCCTCCTCCCTTTTCATAGATCGAGTTTCTCCTCACTCCTCTCATCCATTTTTATTGCGTTTTTTTGGATTTTGAGTGTGGTATTCTCTAAAGACTTGGCATTGAAGATTGGTTCTAGAAGATCTCAACCCTCATTCACCTTCTGGACCCTTGTAAGTCGCAAAGTTCCTTGCTTTTTGGTATTTTTGTCTTTAGATCTACGAGTTTTTGGAATTTTAGTGCTTTATTTGATGTTTTGGTCCCTTGTATGGTTTGATATGTGGAGTTTGGACGACTCCATGATCTTTTGGTGGTGGTCTACTTCATATTTGTGGTGGTGATGGAGTAGAGAATGCATGTAAGGGCTCTCTTTACCACCATACATGAAGAAAGTGGGATTTTGGACCTAGGATTTTAGATCTAGTTGATTTGGTATGTTTAAATGGATAAATTTGGAAAAATTTATCCATTAAGATATCATTGGGATCCAGATATGAGCTTTATAGCTCTAGACTAAAGGGTTAAGAGCCTAAAGGAGAAAGCAGTTATGGATGTTTTCCGCAGCGAGGTGGGGTAGTGGCTATGATGAGATGGAGTACGATTCTACCGTCTGTTTTGTCTTTTAGTGACCACGGCGCGTTCAAGGGTATTAGTTGCAACGCGGTGGTTAGTTTTGACTTTGACCATTGACCATTGACTTTTTAACTAGTTTGACTTTTGGTCAAACTTTAATAGAACTGAGTGTTTGGCTATGGATTGGTTCCAGTTTTGCTTTAGGGGGCATGTGTTAGCGATTTCTGTTGCTAAGGTTGCTGTTGAGATTCTGATGTTTAGTTCAAGTGAGTATTCTCACTATATTACTTACATCATCTGTTGTATATAAGTCATTAATGGCTCACGGTTGCTGATAACCCAAACATGTTGAATGTGAGTCGATGATTGCCCGGGGTTACTGATAACCCATATATGTTGTATGTTAGTAGTTGATGGCTTGGGGTTGCTGATAACCCGAGTATGATGTATTTGAGTCGACGATGGCTTGGGGTTTCTGATAACCTACATATGTTGTATTTAAGTTGCTAATAACCCATATTGTGTTGTGTTGTATATCATAATTTGGGGAACTCACTAATATTTGTGCTTATAGTTGTGGATTAAATATTTTAAAGGTAATTTAGGTGATCGTGGGGATGTGAACGCGCGATTGTACACGCACATCAACGGTTTTATGATCAAAGATTCTGCAATGCCTTTCGTTATGACTCTGATTTTGGATTATGGTTCATGAACACATAGTTTTTTCTTGAATATATCTTTATGAAATTGGGTGTTTATTATGTTTTTAAAATGAAATTTTATTTTGAAAATTAGGATGTTACAATTTAGCATTAGAGTGTTGGTTTGATGGATTTAGATGAACACTCGTGTGATTCCAAACACAAACTAAGGATCTGATAATTTTTACAAACCTCTTTAAAAAGAATGATTTTAAAAGGGGAAAAGAAGATGTGATGTGTACAGTAAATCATAGCTCAAGTAAGTGATTCGTCAAATATACATACATGTTTGATATGTTATCGATTCTATAGTATGAATTGGATGCTAGAAGTAGGCTAGGGATCTCCTAATGGTTACATGTTGAATGCTTCCTTAGGAGAGACGCCTGTTTTGCATATTATGTGAATCGTCGGAAAAGTATGTTGGTGTATAGGGTAAGATCTTTCAGGAATTGCATGTTAGAATGGCCTGATCTTTTGGATGCCTTATTGCCTGATGAATTTTCTGCTTGAATGTTACTTGCTTTACGCTATGTAAAACTATATTTATATTAATTAACTATTATGAGAATATGTTAGGTTGCATGCCATAAAGATTAAATGGTCTTAGAATGATTGATTTGGCCATACTGTACAACTCTTATTTTAGTACAACCATTGTAGTGCGAGATCTTTGTAACATCTCAAAAATCATAACGAATTTAAACTTTTTAAAACAACTCATTACTTAAAAGTGTTTACAAAATCATTGTTTTCAAAATATTATTCGATTCAGAGTCTCCCAAGATCCATCAACATAAACCAAGGATGTGTACGGTCACACCTTCGCCTTGCCACAGTCCTCAGAAGTACCTGAGACAAAACTAAAACTGTAAGCCAACGCTTAGTGAGTTCCCTTAAAGTACCACAACATAAACATAACAAACAACAACATGCATACGAAGCCTTCAGCCTGACTAGACCGCCGCACCGGCCTACAGACTATTTGGATCGCTCTCAGAACCTTCAACATGACTGGACCGCCTCACCGAGCCTTCACCTTATCTAGGCCATTCTACGGGCCTTCATCCTGACTGGTTCGCATCGCATGCCTTCAGTCTATCTGGACCGCCTTGGGTCTCTTGGCCTTCAGTCTCCAGTGGTCAGCCTCAACCCAACCACACATAACATGTCGAAATATACATAAAAGATAAGCATATAACCAGTCAGCAGATAGCAAGCAGATCCAACAGATCACTACAACATAGTAACATCCTATATACCAGGATGCAGATCTAATAGATCACTACGACATAACAACATCCTATATACCAGGATACAGATCTAATATATCACTACAACATAGAAACATCCTATATACCAGGATACAGATGTAACAAATCACTACATCATAGTAACATACTATAAACCAGGATATCAATCCAATGGGTTGGCCTTGGTGCCTTCAACCCATAAGTACAGTGAGGAAAACTGACCTCTCAATCTGAATAATAGTTGACGAGGTCCCGACTCCGAATCTCAGCTCTAACCGTCACCTATCCATCCCAATGACCAATTATCAAACACAATCCAAAAATACCCAAAATACCTCTATGTCAAAACTGGTCAAAATCCACAGGTCAACTGAGTCCACCCATCCGAGTCAACTCAGGCTTTGTACGCGGGGTGTACTCGAGCATTGACCGCCGTCGGGGAGGTTGACCACGTATGTGTTGCGTACTCAGATTATGCAGGGCGTAGGGATACTCTTCCCAAAACCTCCTAAGAGCTTAATGCATTAAGCTCTCACGTCCAACTTTCAGATCTAAGGCCAAAATACGACTTAGAGTCATAAAGTTTCCAACTTTATGAAGTTTCATGTCTAATAAGTGCTTAAAACATAATTCCTTAACATCTTAATGCCTTAAGATTTGCTATAGCATGCATGGAGGAGAACCAACCATCATGACCACATTTTTATGACTTAAGATCCTTCCTAAGGTCTGAAAGGACGACTTAATGAGTCAAGAAAATGCCATGCTCAAGAATCATCAAATTTGGGACAAAAAGGACATAAAATCAAGCCCAAAACAAGATCCAAGTATAACTTCACCACGTTTAGAACCTTATACCTCAAAATGGATCTTGAAGGTGAGATGTTCCTGGATCTAGAAGGTATTGATCTTCCAAGATGATGCTTCTTTCTTCACCTTGCTTCA